ACATTTTTCAGTTTGGGGTATTCTAGCAGGTGTCAGAGCCTATCTCCTTGTGGCTTTAATTCACATTACCCTAGTGACTAATGTTGTTGAGCATCTATTCATGTGCTTAGTTGCCACCCATATAATGGTGAGGTGTCTGAATCCTTCGCCTGCCTCTCTTTTAAATTAGGCTGCCATCTGATTGTGTTGTAAGCATTCTTTGCATATCCCAGATATGGAAATTTTTTGGATATGTTTTGCAAATATTTTCTCACAATCTGTGGCTTACCATTTCATTAACAGTGTTTTCTAAGAGCAAAAGTTTTCATTTTGGTGAAGACCAATTTGTGATCTCTGTTGTCCCATTTCTTTTCTGTTTCCTTCCTTTCTGGTACATTAAGGGGTTTTTGGTGGGGTTTTTTTGGGGGGGGAGGTGTTTTGATTACATTGATCTCCACTTGTGAATTACTAGCTATTACGACCTTCATTTTGCCATTTTAGTGGTTGCTCTAGGGTTTACAGTATATGACTTTAACTTATTCACAGTCTACCTTCAAATAATACACTACTTCACACATAGTATAATAACCTTACAGCAGTTTAGTTTCATTTCTTCCTTCGTGTCCTTTTTGTGTCATGTATTTTACTCCTATATATGCTAAACCCTACAATGTTATTTTCCCCCAAAGCAGTAAAGTATTTAAAAATGAGCAAAATGGTCTTTCATATCACATATTTCCCGTTTTTCAGTGCTCTTTATAAGTATCCTTTCCATGTGGTCTCCTTTTTCTTAAGAACTTCATACGCCTCTCTTTTTATAGTGCAAGTCTACTGGTGATGAAGTTTTGATCTTTTGTTTATAGAAGTTTTGATTTGGTCCAGGCACAGTGGCTCATGCCTACATGTCGTCCCAGCACTTTGGGAGGCCAAAGATCACTTGAGCCCAGGAGTTCGAGACCAGCCTGGGCAACATGGCGAAACCCCATCTCCAAAAAATACCAAGAAATTAGCTGGGCATGGTGGCATGCACCTGTAGTTCCAGCTGCTCGGGAGGTTAAGCAGGGAGGGTCGCTTGAGCCTGGAAGGCAAATGTTGTAGTGAGTTGAGATTGTGTCACTGCACCCCAAATTGGGCAACCGAGTTAGACCCTGTCTCCAAAAAAAAAAAAAAAGTTTTGATTTTGCCTTCATTTTTTGAAAGATACTGCAGCTGGGAGAAGAATTCTAAACTTCCCCTCACCCCCCAGTAATTGATGTCCCTCAGTTGTCTTCTGGTTTGCATAATTTCAGAGAAGTCTATTATTGTTCCTCTATGTTTTGTGTCTGCCTTGGAAGATTTTATCTTTACCCTGGTTATCAGCAATTTGATTATGATGTGTCCTGAAATCATGTTTTTAAGGTTTATTCATATCTTCGAGTCTATTGATCTTTCTGCTGCTAATCTGCTGTTAATCCCATCCAGTGCCTTTTTCATTTGAGATGTATTTTTCATCACTAGAAGTTTGATTTTGGCTTCATTTTTATATAGATTTTTCATTTTTTTCTTTATTATGTTTGTTTTCTTCTAGTTTCTTAAACATGGAATATCTTTATATAGCTATTTCAGTATTTTTTATCTATCATCTGAGTTATTTGTGCTTCCCCGCCCCCACTCTTTACTCCTGGCTGTGTGTCATTATGCGTCATAGTGGCTGGATTTTTTTGTATTGAGTAGTCTTGACTTTTTTTTCTGGTCACCAAATTACTTGGAATTAGTTGGATTCTTTTGCTTTGAAGCTTTATTAGGGTAGACCAGAGGCAACATTAGCCTTAGGACTAATTTAGCCTCATTACTGAGGTCATAGTCTTCTGAGGGTGGTTCTCAGTACTCTGTGTAGAGGTCTTTCTGCTCTCCATGATGGGAACATTAACTCTTTTAGCCGTTGGTTCTTTCTGCAGTCTCTGGTAGCTTCCTCTTAACAAATGCACAAATAGGATTCAGCTGGACTCCAGGAAACACCTCTGCAGACCTCCAGAGCACTCTCCGTGGAGCTCCCTTCTCTCCTGTCCCCTGCCCCACACGTTCTAGCCACCTTGTCATACCTGAATGCCATTCCAGATCTCTCAACTCTGCAAGACCAGGGCCCATGCGCCCCTCCCCTGCCCATAGGCAGTAAACTGGTACACTCAGTTCATCCTTTTAGTCTTTCTTTTGTATATCTTGTTGCCTAATGTCTGAAAGTGTTTTCCTTTTCCTTTATTTCTTATTGTTTAAATAAAACAGGAGAGTAAATCAAGTTCCTGTTACCCCAACTTACTTGAAATCCTCCATTCTTAATTCTTCCTAGATATTCTTCTAGCCTTGCATCTTTCTTAGAAAGCCATCATATGCTCATTGAAGCATTACGTATAATAACAAAACCATTTCTTTAACCAAAATTTTAAACTGAAACACACTCAAGGCTGAACTCATGGTATTCCTTTCCAAATCTCTGTGCTCCCTCCTCCCTCTTGTCCGCCTTCCCCCAAGCAATCACCATAGTAGTAAAAGGCTTCTCCATCCCAGGTACACATACCAGACACATGGGAGTCATCCTTAGCATTGCCCTCTTCCTCACCTACACATCTCATTATCACCTCCAAATGTTTGTTTTGCCTCGAGGGTATGTCTTCAGTCTTTCCACTTCTCTCCATCTCCACCCTCCACTCCTCCGGTATTCCAGCCACCACCTCTTCCTGCTCCAGGAGCCTCCTAAGCAGTCTCGTTTATCCATTCTTGTTCTTTCCAATGCATTCTTTATTCAGTAAGCAGAAAGATTTTTTAAAATTATTTTTTAATCAAAGCAATAAATGCAGAATTAAAGTAAAAAAGGCTTGTACCATGAAACTACTTTCCTGCCTGATTTCTCCCCAGTGCCTGGTTGCATTCCCTACCACTTTCTACTATTTTACTGTTTCTGGCTTTTATTTTCATAATTCTAAATATGTGCTTATACTGTTACTTCTTATCAATTTTAGATATCTGTTGATGTTTTTCTACTCAATCCCTTTTTTTTTTTTTTTTTTTTTTTTGAGATTAAGTCTCGCTCTGTCCCCCAGGCTGGAGTGCAGTAGCGCAATCTTGGCTCACTGAAACTTCCACCTTCCTGGTTCAAGCGATTCTCCTGCCTCAACCTCCTGAGTAGCTGGGATTACAAGCGCACTCCACTACACCCAGCTAATTTTGTATTTTTAGTAGAGGCGAGGTTTCACCATGTTGGTCAGGCTGGTCTTGAACACCTGATCTCAAGTGATCCACCTGCCCTGGCCTCCCAAAGTGCTGGGGATTGCAGGCATGAGCCACCTCACCTGGCTTCAACCCTTTCTTCTTTATTATAACTGTTATAATTTTTGGCTGAATCACTGTCATTGTTGACATTAACAAAGCAGACATTTTTACTTTCCGAGCCAAAATGTGTATTTTTACCTTTCCTATCTCGTATGCCTTTTTTTTTTCCCTCCTTTTAGAGATGGGGTCTCACCATATTTCCCAGGCTGGTTTCTTTTCTTTTCTTTTCTTTTCTTTTCTTTTTTTTTTTTTTTTTAGGAAGAGTCCTGCTCTGTCACCTAGGCTAGAGTGCAGTGGTGCAGTCTCGGCTCACTGCAACCTCCACCTCCTGGGTTCAAGAGATTCTTATTCCTCAGCCTGCCGAGTAGCTGGGATTACAGGCACATGCCACCACGCCTGGCTAATTTTTGTTTTTTTGTGTTTTTTTTTCTGAGACAGAGTCTTTATCTGTCACCCAGGCTGGAGTGTGATGGCGCGATCTTGGCTCACTGCAACCTCCACCTCCCAGGTTCAAGCAATTCTCCTGTCTCAGCCTCTTTAGTAGCTGGGATTATAGGTGCGTGCCACCATGCCCAGCTAATGTTTTTATTTTTAGTGGATGTGGGGTTTCACCACGTTGGCCAGGCTAGTCTTGAACTCCTGACCTTAGGTGATCTGCCCACCTTGGCCTCCCAAAGTGCTGAGATTACAGGCATGAGCCACTGTGCCCAGCTTAGTTTTTGTATTTTTAGTAGAGATGGGGTTTCACTATGTTGGCCAGGCTGGTCTCAAACTCCTGACTGCAGGTGATCCACCCACCTCGGCCTCCCAAAGTGCTGGGATTTCAGGCGCCAGGCTGGTTTCTAACTCCTGGGGTCTCAAGCAGTTTTCCCATCTTTGCTTCCCAAAGTGTCCTATGTCTTTTTACTATTTGCTGCTTTTGCAACATGTATCGGTTGCTGATTTGTTTACTTTCTGTTATTCTCCTTAATTTTCAACATGATCAAATACATTTTCAGATTATAGTCAATCTCCCCACTTTTCTTTTTTTCTTCCTAGACATCCTCTTGCACTCTGGGGTGGATATTTTCTTGGCCAAGGTGGAAAGTCACAGCCCTAGGACTTACCTTCAGCATTATCTTCTCTTCTCTCTTGTATTTTATCTTTTGGGTTTTCCTCAGTGTTAATTTGCTCTCTCATGTTGGTGGAATTCTCCATCAGGATAGTAAGAAAAAGGTGAATGGGATGTAAATTTTTGAGATACTGTGTTTGTCTTTATTCTGCCCTTTAATAGAATTGTGGGATCAAAAATTATTTTTCCCTCAGAATTTGGAAGTCATTGTTAAATTATCTTTTGGCTTCCAATGTTGCTATTAATAGTCCTGATAGTTTTCTTTTTTTCTTTTTCCTTTTTTTCCTTAAGAGACAGGGTCTTGCTCTGTTGCCCAGGCTGGACTGCAGTGGCACAATCACAGCTCACTCTAATCTCTAACTCCTGGGCTCAAGCAATCTTCCTGCTTCAGCTTCTCAAGTAGCTGGGACTACAGGCATGTACCACCATGCCTGCCTAATCTTTTAATTTTTTGTAAAGACGGGGTATCACTGTGTTGCCTAGACTTGTCTTGAGCTCCTGACCTCAAGCAGCCCTCCCACCTTCATCTCCCAAAGTGCTGAGATTACAGGCATGACCACCATGCCTGGCCTCCTAATAATGTTCTTGAGTTTGTTTGTTTGTTTTGTTTTTTATTTTTTCCAAATCAACAGGTCTTTTATTGCATCATTTAAATATCACAAGTAGGTCTTAGGAGTCATCTGATATCTTCTTTCTGTAGCTGGATAACTCTTAGATCTTATTCATCAGCCTACTGAACAGTTCCTTTTTCAGAGACATAGATACCATCCAAAAATTTCCTGATATCCTTGTTTTTAACTGTTGTGACTTGCTGAATCAAAGCCGCTGAATTTGAAACAAGCTTAATGTCATTTCCTTCAAAGATTAATTCATCTTTCTGGGCTTGAGATACCGAACAAGCAATACCTGGTCTCATCCAAACCCTGCGGATGTATTTTTCACCCAAGAAATTTCGGATTTCAACAAGAGACCCATTCTCCTGGATAACGACGTTGATGGGGAAGTGAGCATACACAGACCTCATCTTGTAACGGAAGCCCAGTGTAACACCCTTGATCATGTTTTGTACATGACTACAAATAGTCCGAACGGTAGCCAGTTCCTTTCTGTTACCCCACCATTTGTCAACCCGAAGCCTCTTTTTTTTCTTTCCAAGAAGACTTGAGTTCTACATTGATGTGATTGAAGTCCCTCCCCAGGGTTCCTCTGGGGCCCTTCACGATAACTGTGCATCCCTTCAGAGTAATGTCAACATTTTCTGTAATGTCGACAGTCTGATTGCTGAGAATGGTCTTCATTCTTGCAGTAGACACAGCAAAAAAAGCTTGAGTTTTATTTTTAATCTTTTTTGTAGACTGCCTTTTCTCACTGGAAACTTTTGGGATCTGTTCTTTTCCCTGCCATTTTGAAATTTTGTAACAACGTGCCCTGCCTGATTAGGGTTTTATTTTCATTCATTGTGCTGGAGACTTCTGACTAGGGGATATTGCTTGTATTTATGGGGAGTTGTTTCATAATATTATTTCCTTGATAATTTCCTCCTCTTTGTTTTCTCTGTTCTCTCTGTTACTGTTAGTCAGACATTGTTCTTGGATGGATCCACTTGCTTGACCTTTTTTTTTTTTTTTTTTTTTTTGGTGATTATCACATTTTAATTTTCAGTGTTTTGGGTTTTGGGTTTTTGTTTTTTTTGTTTTTTGTTGTTGTTGTTGTTGTTGTTGTTGTTGTTGTTTTTTGAGACAGAGTCTTACTCTGCCACCCAGGCTAGAGTACAGTGGTGTGACCTCAGCTCACTGCAACCTCCATCTCCCGGGTTCAAGTGATTCTCCTGCCTCAGCCTGCCAAGTAGCTGGGATTACAGGCACTCACAACCATGCCTGGCTAGTTTTTGTATTTTTAATAGAGACAGGGTTTCACCATGTTGCCTAGGCTGGTCTTGAACTCCTGACTTTGGGTAATCCACCTGCCTCAGCCTCCTAAAGTGCTGGGATTACAAGCACGAGCCACTGCGCCTGGCCAGTTTTCAGTGTTTTGTATTTCTATCTGGATGTTTGTTACACAGGTATTCTTAAATATATTTAAGATTTGTGGACTTTATATAAGTTGTACTTCAACAGAATAGTGAAAATAAATGGAAAGGACCCTTCCCCCTCCATTGTTAATATCTAAAGTCTCTTTCTTAATCTCTTTTTTTTTTTTGAGACAGAGTTTTGCTGTCGTTGCCCAGGCTGGAGTGCAGTGGTGCGATCTGGGTTCACTGCAACCTCCGCCTCCTGGGTTCAAGCAATTCTCCTGCCTCAGCCTCCCGAATAACTGGGACTACAGGCGCACTCCACCACGCTCAGCTAATTTTTTGTATTTTTAGTAGAGACAGGGTTTCACCAGGTTGGCCAGGCTGGTCTTGAACTCCTGACCTCAGGTGATCCACCCACCTCGGCCTCCCAAAGTGCTGGGATTACAGGTGTGAACACCACCTCTCATTGTTTTTTATATTATCCTGTTTATCTCTTGTAGATGTCATTGTCTTTTTCTCAGCCTCTTCATTAAGCATGTTGTGTTTTGTTCTCTGTAGTCTGCGTCGTGTCTGTTTCTCATAAGTTATTTTTCTTTTTGTTTGGTCTCTTGTCTTTCCTGTTGGAAGGTTTGTTAGTGTTGCATTACTGCCATAACAAATTGCCATAAGTTTAGCAGCCCGAAACAGCACGAATTTATCTCACAGTCGCTGTAGGTTAAAGGTGTATGTATACACAGTGGCTCACTCATGTCCTCTATAGACTCTTGAGTGGCTGAAGTTAAGGTGTCAGCAAGGCTGCATTCCTTCCTGGAGGCTCTGATAATGAATTTTGCGTGGTAGAATTTGGTTCTGTGTGATTGTAAGACTAAGGTTCCCTCTGGCTTGTCTGCCAGGGGTCATTCTCAACTCCTAAAGGCTCTCCACATTGCTTGTGGCCCCCTTCCTCTATCTTCAAAGCCAGTAACAGCAAGTCAAGGTCTTCTCTGGGAATTTATCTGACCACTCCTGTCTCATCTCTCTTCTGCCTGCCTCTTCTGTTCCTGAGGCCTCATGTCATTACATTGGGTTCACCCAGATAACCCAGGATAATCTCCCTAAAATGAGTTGATAAGTAATCTTAATTCATTTGCAAAAACTCCTCACAGCGGTACCTAGATTGGTGCTTGTGTAACCATGGGTAGGGATCTTAAACCTTTAGTATTCTGCCCACCACAGAAGCCTTTCTCAAGTGTCTAGTAATCATTGGCTGTCAGTTCATATGTTTAATGCTGGGGCACTTTTTTTTTCAGACGGAGTCTCACTCTGTCGCCCAGGCTGGAGTGCAGTGGCGCAATCTCGGCTCACTGCAAGCTCCGCCTCCCAGGTTCATGCCGTTCTCCTGCCTCAGCCTCCTGAGTAGCTGGGACTACAGGCGCCTGGCACCACACCCAGCTAAATTTTTTTTTTTTTTTTTGTATCTTTAGTAGAAACGGGGTTTCACCATGTTAGCCAGGATTGTCTCCATCTCCTGACCTCATGATCTGCCCACCTCAGCCTCCCAAAGTGCTGAGATTACAGGCAGGAGCCACGCCCGCCTGGGGCATTATCATTGCCTTATAGGAAGCTCTATATTGTATGGATTTTAGCTCATCATCCCTCTGTAAGGTATTTAGACAAATTGAGCAAGCTTTTTCAAACATCAGTATCTAAAAGATCTTTTCCCTAGGGCTGTTCAGGTTCTGCTTGTAAAGGATCCTAAAGGGTGTGTGTCTGTGGAGCAGGTTACCTGAGTTTAATTCAGTAATGGAACAGGAAAGGGACGTTGGGGCGGACTAAATTTTTTCAGGTAGTCTGTCTGTCTTCTGTGCCTCGGTTTGAAGATTAGAACAGTGAATCAGGGTGTTTCCCATTGGTACCTACTTCTACAAACACCTTGGTTTTATATTTATCCAGTTTACAAAGTTACTCTTCCATCTGACTTCTGCCTCCCAAAACTTTTCTGAGATTTATTATCCAATATTTTCTTCCATTTTGGGGGCCCTTATAGGTTTATGTTTTCTTTATTGTTTACGTGTTTTCAAAAAGGAGTGAAAATAAATGCGCATATTCAATATGCTTTTTTAACCAGAAAGCTTTATCTTCCCTGAGAACCCTTCTTTATCTCAGTTTCTCAATTCCTCACCCTCATGCTTTTTTATATGTATAGTATTTATATAGCCTGTATAGATTAGACTAGATTTGTCTTCTGTTTGGTAATATGCTAATTATAATAAACATTAAATTTCATTGCTGTGACTGGGTGTAGTGGCTCAGGCCTGCATTCCCAGTATTTTGGGAGGCTGAGGCCAGAAGATTGCCTGAGCCCAGGAAGTCGAGGCTGCAGTGAGCTGTGATCACACTAACACTACTTCATTCCAGCCTGCGTGACAGTGAGCCCCTGTCAATTCATTTCTGTATATTCTGTTATAGAGGTTCTAGAGCACTGCTTTGTGTAGTGCCTCATAAATGCTAGCTTATCCTTATTGAAATGTAAAATTGAGCATAAATTAGTATAGTATTTTGGTATGGCCATTTTAAAGTTTTCATGTCTCACAGTCCTCTGGGTATGTTTTATTTTGATATAAATTCTGTTTAATTATTTATTCTCTTCTCCAGCCCCACTCTTATGCATCTAGAAATCTTATACAGATTTCTAAATCTATTCATTACTTCTTGAGACAAGGCATACAGTAAATCAGTAAGTCCTAAATTCTCATGTCAATGAAATAATCAGTATCTTAATGTGGAGAGTTAGGTTTACTTCGTTATTGTTGTAATGAAATGAAAACCACTTATTCACACTTCATATGCAGCCAATGGCTACCCACTTCCAATATGGAACTACCTACCATTAGAAAAATAAGAAGTCATTCTTCCTACCCTTCATTCTCTCCCTTCCCTAAGCTAGTGATTATCAAGAAGCTTGAGGCTGGGTGCAGTGGCTTACACCTGTAATCCCAGCACTTTGGGAGGCCGAGGCTGGCTGATCATTAGGTCAGGAGATCGAGACCATCCTGGCTAATACTGTGAAACCCCATCTCTACTAAAAATACAAAAACTTAGCTGGGTGTGGTGGCAGGCACCCGCAATCCCAGCTACTCAGAAGGCTGAGGCAGGGGAATTGCTTGAACCCGGGAGGCGGAGGTTGCAGTGAGCTGAGATCGCGCCACTGCACTCTCCAGCCTGGGCGACAGAGCAAGACTCCGTCTCAAAAAAAAAAAAAGAAAAAGAGCTGGAATCAGAATTGCCTACAGAACTTCTATAAAACAAGCTGCTGGAGCCCTGAGCTACTGCAAAAATCTGGGGATATGGCCCCAGCATGTATTTTTAATATTGTTATTATTGATTTTACAAGCAATTCTTATGGGCCCATCTAGTTAAGAACTGCTTTATCTACTTAAGACTGATGAAAAAGCTACTTAATAATCTTTTACTAATGTAAATATGCATATTATTATACATTTAATACTACCTGGTTTGTGAGCCAGACAGAAAATGACCTAGGAACAAAAATACATTTGAATCATGGAGTACGGTGACTCTCAAACCTCGGGGATATGCCGGAAACATTTGGGAGAACTTTTCGAAATGTAATGCTTGCTTTACTGTCTCCCACTAAATAGTGCCTGTGGTGACTTTGATAGAAGCATATCATATCTAAGGCATGAGATTTGTTATATAAGGATTTGTTATTTATACTTCAATACTTTTTAGATATTTCATCACATACTAGTACTTCATTTACTTTGGAGAAATGAATGGGTGGAGAGATAGATTACCCCACCACCACCCTACCTCCACTTAATGTTGAAGCAGTATAGACAACTGCTTATTCAGAGGCTTGGAATTTTCTAATGCCTTTATTTTATCCCCATATGACCCCATTGGCATTTAAAGCTGAGGAATCATTGTGAATTAAAAGTAGAATTCATAAACCATTAGATCTCTTCATGTGTTAAATCTTATTCCTTTAAAAATAACTCTAGGAAATCATGATGCAGCTGTATTAGATAAATCTTAGGTTCAAAAGATACACTTGAAATCACTTCTGAGTTTCTGAACCTACCTAATTATAGCAATCATTGCTAATCCATGAAACCCCAAGAATTACATTTGAGGATAAGCAGGTTAACTTTATAACCTAAATATACAAGAACGAAGAAAATATTTGATTTTTAATTGTGTAACTTTAGCTGAAAAATGCTGTAGTATGTTTTTAAAAAAAAAAAATCAGATATGCCTAGATGCTTTCAAGAAAGTGGCAGAATTT